GGAGCTTCAGATCTCCTACTTGCGTGATCTCTACTATCTCCTACGGGATACTCCTAGCATCGTCCCTTCGACTGCGCGTTCAACAACGCTGAGTGATTTTTCATCCTGCTTAAGTAGCGACCATGTTTCTAATGCATACGTTAGAGCAGTAAGTAGCGTTTAGTCGATAAGGTGGGCACGGAGTCGGGTGTTCTTTGTTCTTTTCACTACATCCTCGATGTTCTTGAAAGCTCCACAGGCCGCTCGTTTCCTTCTGCTCAGCTCTGGAGGTAAATCGTTCATCATTTTGATTTCCCGACTTAGATAGACATGACTGGAGCATTCGGAGATATTCGTTTCGTTGAGCGTGAATGGGGCATACGAAACCAATCCGTTCCTCACGAACATCGCTTTCGTGAGATTTAGCCGAAGACCAATCTTTCCACAGGCTTTGTCAAAGTCGGCAAGCATACGTTCCGCTTAGCTAATGTTTAGTGTTATAAAGACGACTTCATCAGCAAAGCGAAGATGGTGTAAATGCCGGCCATCGATTTTCACTCCCATATTATCCCATTCCAATATTCGCATAACATTCTGGAGAGTGGCGGTACATAATTTTGGCGAGATGGTATCGCCTTACTTAACCCCTCGTTTGACGTCAATGTTAATATTGTTGAAGAATGGTGATATCTTGGTTGTGAAATCATTATTTATTGTACGGCCCACGAAGAATTTTTATGTACTGGCCAGGGACTCCTTAACTATCAAGAGCTTCCATGACTGCTTCTATCTCAATTGAATCAAAGGCCTTCTGTAAGTTGATGGAAGTGAGACAGAGCGGTTTGTACTCTCACGGTACTTCAATGAGCCTTGTTATCGTGTGGATATGGTCCATTGTATTAAATCCTTTTCGAAGTCCTGCGTGCTCACATGGCTGCCCTTCGTCCAATGCTCTGTCAACTCTCTTTAGGATGACTCGAGTGAAAAGTTTGTGGACAACAGGCAACAAGCAGATTGGGCGATAGTTGCCGATATCGTGTAGGTTACCCTTCTTAAACAGTAGCACAGTCTTGCTGTTCTTCCACTGATCAGGGACCTTGCATTCAGACAGGCAACGTGTGAAGAGACGAGCCAGTGTGTTTACGAGGGCTGGCGGAAGGTTCTTCAGGTTTTCTGGTCTTATCTTGTCCGGACCTAGTGCTCTTCGTTTTTTCATCGACGAAGTGACATGTTGGATTTCGGTAGGGAGAACGGGTGGGACAACATACCCATCCTCCTTTATTTCATATGACGGAAGGTGGACGTGGCTATCGAAGAAATCTAAGTAGTATTCGTGAATGATTTTCTCCATTGCCTTTCTGGACGCTGTAACTGTTCCGTCCGGGCGTTGGAATGCAATCATCTTGGTTTTGTAATTGGGGATGCTTCGGTGTGCTTTGCGAATGCTTTCCCCAGCCTCTGCAACTACGACCATTACTGCTGCTCTTCGCCCTTTAAGATCTTCTATTATCGCCTGTCTGCATTGTTTTGCAAATTCGGACGTTAGTTCGCGGTTGCCTGCAAGTCGTGCGATACCACGCCGGCGTATCAGCTCGAGTGTTTCTGGAGACCACGTCTCTTGGTGACTTTCGAACTCTCAGCTTTCATAGCGCTAACGTGAAGATGTTGAATGAGACGATCGTATTCTTCGTCGATGTTATCGACATCGGTATCTTCCCAACAGCCGACTAATGAATTGAACAAATCCCAGTTTGCGGTAGTTCTGGGACCTTAGTTTTGAAATTTAGTGGTTTTTTCTCCTTTCCGCGAGAAATAGAATCTTGCATGAAGGAGACGGTGGTCTGATCACGTGTTGAATTTTGGCACAACAGCGACATCGGTTAGGCAAAACCTTCTATTTACTATTATGTGGTCTACTTCGTTACGGTACTCTCCATTAGGAGTCTCCACGTCCAGCGTTGAAGGGCTTCTGAAATTGCGCGTTACCATGCATGGTCTTGGTCGCCGTGATAAACTCAGGTTGCCCCTCACCCTCTTCATTCCATTCTAATCTATGGGTTCCAATGTGATGTTCTTCAGACATTCTTCTTGGTCCAATCTTGTCGTTGAAATGTCCAATGATGACCTTGAAGAATGTGTGGTGTTCTCTGTAGAACTTCTCCAAGTCCATATAGAACGCTTCGACTTCTTCTTCGTCATAGTTTGATGTCAGCGCGTGGACGACGAAGATTGTCAAAGCCGATACTGATCCACATCTTTTTAATCATAAGCGTCCGATTCGGGTTGTAAACTGTTCGAATGAATCGATGCTCATGGATAAACTCGTGTTGACGAGAATGCCGAAGCCGCCGACTCCTCTACTGACACATGTTCCGAGGAACAGTTCTTTTCCGGTGTCATAGACGTCGTTGAATGGGTGGCGTCGCCTCGTTTCGGCCAGGCCGATGACGTCGCACTTTATCCTTCTTGCTTGCATGAGCAAGTCTTCTATCGAGGACTCGGATGCAAGTGTACGGTCGTCACCATAGTTCTTTGAAATCCAGGCAGCTTTCATTGGCCCTGAGATTTTAGAAGCCTCTCCGTACTCGTCCTACCCAAGGCCGCCGAATTGGGAGCTCTTTCAGGGTCAGGGAATGGGGTCCGTTTCTCTTATTATGTTTAGTATTTTGATACCAACGTATAGGTTGCTGGGCTGAGTATAATCACGGGTAGCTTGCCGGTCTCTCCCAGAGTGGACATGGAGCTTATTTGTAGGAAACGACTCCAAATCGCCTCACGTATATTTCCCAGCCGTATTGACTCGTAGAATACAATCCGCATAAACTAGAACGCACCCACACACGAATGCATGAATACGCCTCGTAAATACAGGAAGTATGTGCCAAATCGGCGCAGCAGAAACAGGGAGTCCATTCCCTGGATCCACCTACATCTCAGGGAAGCAAAGGTCGCTATTCGTCCACGATTAACCCCTATCCGCCACCTGTGGACGCGCCACGTAGCTTCGCGACTAACCGGCTCGAGATCTCTCATATGAGGGAGATCCGTGGGAAGACGGTATTAGAAAAGGGAAATGCCCATAGTAGATCCATAAAGAAGAAATCGGATGCCTCACAAGAAAGAAAATAACATGGTAACATTAACTAAGCTCTAACTTCATCAACATTCATCAATATACACCTAGAGCAATAAAGCAAAGCATACTCCACAGGTATTTCAGGTACCCAAATGTCCAAGCCTTTGTACCTTATCACCTGCCGTCCCGTTGATCGTCGAGTGGCTGGAGCGAGAGCCAGTAAATCTTCCATTTTTCCCTGTCGCGTGCGAGAGTAGTCCAGTGGGATCTCCCCGCTCTAGAAACTCGTTGAGCACAAAACCTTTTTTTTAGGGTTTTCGTGAAGAACTCTAACCTTCGGGTCGGTGGTCTTCCTGCAGGGCTTTTGACATCCTTAGCAATCCTGTCATTAACTACTTTCACTTGCCCATCAGTTGTCGTTTATACGTATTACGTGTCCGGCCCACGTTATTTTCGACAACTTGGCCTATAGAATCGCGTCTTTGGTTTTTAACCGCTGATGTGGGTCGTAGCTTAGGTGAAACGAGATACTACAAGTGTGATCCTTTCGTCCGTGCATTCTATGACTCTGACTGATCCTTCATCCTAATTGCGTAGCGACCATGTTTCTGACCCATACATTAAGGCACGAAGAATCGTGGAGTCGAAAAGGTAGGCACGGAGTCGGGTGTTCTTTGTTCCCTTCATTACAACCTCAATGCTCTTGAAAGCTCCCCAAGCCGCTCATATTTTCCTGCTCAACTCTGCAACTAAGTCGTTCATCATGTTCATTTCCCGACCTAGTTAGACGTAACCGGAGCACTCGAAGATATTCGTTCGGTTGAGCATGAATGGTACATGCGAAACCACTCCGTTCCACGAGAACATCGTTTTTGTGAGACTTAGTCCAAGGCCAATTTTTCCACAGGCTTTATCAAAATCAGCAAGCATTCGTTCCGGTTGGCTAATATTTGGTGTTATAAGAACGATATTATTAGCAACGCGAAGATGGTGTAATTTCCGGCCATCGATTTTCACTCCAATGTTTTACCATTTCAATGCTCGCATGACGTTCTCGACGTGGCAATGAATAATTTTGGCGAGATGGCATCGCCTTTCTTAACCCTCTTTTAACTTCGATATTAATCACAATTTTAACTTATTATTCACTGCCTACTCTTTTTAACGGCAGGGTATACATTGTAAAATATAACTTCAATGATGCTGAGATATTTGCAAAACTCCGGACCGCAGGTGTATGCGGTGAGGAACGAACGCGCTATTGTCCTTTCCGGGGAGTAGTGCGTTCACCACCACACCACGCGGGTCCTTCGTTTCGCCTGTCTCTCAGCTAGTTCTATCGATCTTTTGCCATCAGCAATCACCCGTCAGCGGAATTGATCTGGGAGGCCCAAATCGGTAACGAACCCAGTTAAGCTGAGGCCGCAGTTATAATCACAATTTTAACTTATTAAACTGGTTTTGTTAGTTCTTACGTGAATTGGTAGCTGCCTGCAGCTCGTCCGATTCTATAAGCTCAAGTGTTTCTAGAGGTAGTCGTATGTTTTAGCGAATTTTATACTTCCAGCTTTCTTGACGCTAGCGTGAAAGTGTTTAATAAGCTGGCCGTATTCTTCACCGATGTTGTCGTTAATGGCATCTATTAAGGAGTCGAATAACGATCTTGATTCATCATTGTTTCAGAAATTCATTCCTCATATTTTGATGGTTTTGTTCTTTTTCGAGAAAAATAAAATACCGCACCAAAGGGCGAGGGTCTGATCAATTATGGAATTTTGGAATAGCAGCGACAACAGTTGAGCAAAACCTTCGATTTACTATGTCTTCGTCTTCGTCATAGCTTGATGTCGGCGCTTAAACGACGAAGATTGTTAAGGCTAGTATTGACACACATCTGCCCAACTACGGAACTCCGATTCCAGTTGTTGATTGTTCGAATGAACCGATGTTCACAGCCCAACACGGTTGGCGAGAATGCCGACCCGCCGATTCGCCGGCTACTCTATCGTCGTATGGTTCCGAGGAACAGTTCTCCGGTGTCACAGAATGCATTGAATGGACGGCATTTTTTTTTGTATCAGCCAGTCCAATGACGTCGTGCCTTATCCTTGTTGTCTACATGATCGAGTACTGTCGAGGACTCAAATGCAAATGACCATGCATTGTAGGTACAGATCATCACCTTAGTTCTTTGCGATTTAGGCAGCTTAGAATAGTCCTTAGATTTTAGTGTCCTCTTTGTTGTACCGAACGCTGCCGTATCGAGGAGTCTTTAAAGCTCAGAGGAATGAAGCCCACTTATTTTACTGTGTTCAGCGTTTGATGCCCACGTATAACATACTGAGCTCTGAACGTAAATCCTGGGTACATTCACGATTACTTGCTACTCTCTGCGAGCGTGAACGAGGAGCCTATCTGTTAGAGGCGGTTCCCAGCCGCCTCCCATACACTTCCTTGTGACTTAATTTTAAACATTTGGTCGAATTAACTCGTAGAATACAATTACTTAAAAGAGAACAGACGCACACACCACTGAATACGTCTCCGCAGGGACAGAAGGTATGTGCCAAATCGGCAAAGTAGAGGCAGGGATTCCTGGATCCATCTAGGTATCAGGGAAGCATAAGGTTGCTTTCGGCCCGCAATTTACTCCTATCCATTACACGTAGATGTGCCACGTTGTCTCGTGACTAGCCGGCAAGAGATCTCTCTATGGAAAAAATCCGTGCCTCAAGTCTTATACATGCCGAAAACCCCATCTCCCATCATCGAAAAAGTAGCAGTGTTCAAGCAATATTCTTTGATGGAAGAGTTTAAAAGTCCGCAACCGACGCAAAATTAGGCTTTATTCCACGCGTCGATTTATACGACAAAAGAAATGAGCAGAAAAAATGATGACTCATATGCGAGTCGTACCACGTGAACCGTTATAGGAAAAATGTTGGCTGAATTAACTTTTCCATATTAGTCGTCCTTATTATTTACTGTTCTGAAAAATGTTGGAAATTCTGGATTCCGCTTTTTTTGATTTGCCTATCACCTAATATAGCTTTTTTAGCGTACCTACCTCAACCCTTTGCTCAATATGATAATTGTGGCCAGTATTTTATGGGTATCAGGTCGATTCTACAGTGTGTCGAACTTGATTGAAAACGAACCAACAAACGGTATAGGTGAGCAGCTTCCGTATTCATAGTTCCCTAAAAAGTCGTAGAGTTATCAAACTTGCTCTCACCAGCGCAAAATCCCCTCTATATAGAACGTTTTGTAGGTTTCTAAAGTTTTTAAACTACACTGTAGATCATACATACGTGACTGCGCCTAGTTTCTTGCGGCTCGCATTGAAAAATTCTTCTGAAAAAGTTTCTCGTTGATTATTAAGTGTACACAATAACCCGTCACGGAACACATCTAGCACATCTGTGTTGGATAAGCTATCGATTGCAGACATAAATACGGCATATGAATCCATTGCGATGAGATATATAGGGATAAAGGATAAAGCTGTTGGCGTTGATCAATAATCCCTGAGGGATGCGCCATGCATTATACTACTTCATTAAGCATCGTTTGGAGGTGATTGAATGCATATCTGGCCTTTACAATGACTCGCGTTGGCCTACCGATGTATCGAACCAGTGCTGCTATCCTCCCAGACAAGTCTGGTATCAATCTGCCGACCCTGGAGGAATGGAAGGCTCGGCTAGCTATGGGCGCGGAAATCGATTCCACGTGTGTGTTACAGGCCGCCTCCGACCACTGCACCACATGCGCTCTTTGTAATGAGATAAATGTTGAAAATTGTATGCATTCAGAGAAATGCATTAATTAAGTTATTTGGTAAGGAGTTCCTCGATGCTTTCTTGCGGTTTTGCGAGCTGACTGCATAAAAATCATTCTCGTTCACCATGATTTCCATAACATTTAGGTCACTGCATTACAAAATCTCTTTGTACTGCACAGCCGACTTTTGCATGAAACAATGGCAACTTGGATGATGGTTGCTATGGCAAAGATCGATAGAACTAGCTGAGAGACAGGCGAAACGAAGGACCCCCATAGTGTGGTGGTGAACGCGTTACTCCCCGGAAAGGACAATAGCGCATTCGTTCCTCACCGCATACACCTACGGTCCGGAGCTTTGCAAATATCTCAGCATCATTGAAGTTATATTTCGCAATATACCCTGCCATTAAAAAAGAGTAGACAGTAAATAACAAGTTGAAAATGGCAACTTGTTCTATTCGTCTTACATTGTGCTGGCGGGCGCGTGTGGCGCCATGGTGGGTGAGGCCACTGTGACACACAAGTGCTGTCGATCCCTGCGCACATGGCCCACCAAGCTTTCCATCCCTTCGGAGTCGGCAAATTGGTGCAAGACTTGTCTGGGAGGATAACAGCAGTTTCGATACATCGGTAGGACACCGCGAGTCATTGTGAAGGTCAAATACGCATTTAATCACCTGCAACGATGCTTAATGAAGTCGAATGCATGATGCAGGCCTCAGGGATTGATCAACGCCGAGAGCTTTATCCTTTATCCTTCGTATTGTTTTGGCGCACCAGAATTTTAATGATGTCTCGTTCTTATTTGCACAGAAGTTTCTTTATCTCTTTACGAATTTCTCAAATTATCGGGTCATGTTTTACTTCCTGTTCTGACTCTTCATAAAGGGTCTTTTTGTTGTTCAATCCGGTGCTATTCTGCACAGCAACCGGAACGACATTTGGATGCACTATGAAAGATAACTACTGCAGTATCCCAGATGTTTTTGTTTGAAAAACATCTGCTCAAATATCCCCAGTATTCTTTTATGCACTTGATTGGAGTGAAATTCATTCAGTAACCACATCTGCTGTGAAAATTGTAGAATTGATGATTTTGAGGGGAAAGTACCGATCCTAACCGAACAATTTAAGGAACCACCCAATTCATAGCAATGTTTCCAGCCCACATGTGGAATTCCTAAGTTGAGGAGTTCAACATTTTCTTGCGAAAGCTCCTCCTGTAGGTGAAGGACTGGGCAAACTCGCCGAGGCTTGGCTTAGTGTTCAGTAAGCGTGAGCTCATGAGTGAGGTTCAACATGGTCCGTCTTTGAACCTCATTGGAGTCTTTGACTCTGGATGGAGTCATTAAGTCTTACCTTGCTTTTATTTTGCATTTCTTTTTCCACCGACAATTCAGAAATCACACATACACACGATTTATCGACAGAGGTTGTACAGAGATTATTCATGTGTACTTGAAAGCAGTTGCAATCTTCACATGTAACCTCGGTTCAATTCTTGCCTACAATCAACAATATTCACATAAAATTTGCTAGTTATGTTTGAAATGAATAATGGCCACGTGGAAGATCGCACTGGCAATGTACACTTGGAATAACCAGTGCTGAAACATTCTAAGCAACAATTTTTCCCATAGCGACTACACATGGCGCTAGCCTTTCTGGCACGTTCAGCAGCCCATTTCCGATTGCACTATCTGTAATTGCCTTACGACATTCCACGCTCTTCTGCATTTTCTCGAACCCCTTATGCTGCTTTATTGAAAAAAAGGAGAAGTCGACTGTGTCCAATACACCCGCATCCAGTGTAACGCAGATAGGCGTCCACCTTGAAGTAATCGAGCGAGATTATCCGCTTGCGTTCGTCCACCACGAGTTCACCAAACACCAATGTCTAGGCTAAAGAAGAGTCGTGCGTTTGAGCTAAAAATGGTTGTTTGCATCCAAGCTTATCCTGATTGTAACCTCCAATAACCAATATTTTCCATTAGTTGGCGAAAACGGTCGTGTTCATGACCACTATAATAATGTCCATGTTATTCTTCCACTTAAGAATACTGTTGCACAACACCGAGCTTGTTACCCACTGTCCTCTTTTCCGCCCTTAGGTGATTTGCTTGCGAAGTCGCTTCCTGTTTTAGCAACAGTTATCGATAGGACGGGCCCTTCCCTCCAGTGAGTCTTCAGCCAGGAGAAGATTCATGTACCAATTATCGTTCTAGAGAAGCTTTCCTTGGTCTAGCGAGTCGCAAATAGATTCCATCACCACACAGTCTAGATTTATGGAAGGGTCGCTGCCGACGAATATCAAATTCTGTAAGTGTAGCCGCTTCTCTTGCACAACTGAATAAGCTTAGACGGCACATGTGCCTGTTCTATGGCATGTAGTGGCGGAAGGCGATTCTACCTCTGAATGGAACGATTCGTCAGTACATATGAATCTTCCAAGCCTTTATATTCTCTCTGCAGTTCTAGTTGATGAGCACGATTAGCAACCTAATATTGTTACAAGTTGTCTTGTCGATCACCCCTTGCGTTGTTGGTGAAGTGGAGGTTCGCTAACAAATTTTCAAAACTGTCTGTTTTCACAGCGCGCGTTAGCGTAGTGGTTGGAGACGCCACTGCGACACCCTTGGAATCGATCTCCGCACCCATGGCCCACCAAGCGTTCCATCCCTCCGGCGTCGGCAAATTGGTTCCAAACTTGTCTGGGAGGATAGCAGCATCGACTCGATAAATCGGTAGGCCATCGCGAGTTATTGTAAAGGCCAGATATGCATTCAGTCACCTCCAAACGATGCTTTATGAAATAGAGTACATGGCACATTCCTCAGCGATTGATCAGCGCCGAGAGCTTTATCCTTTTTTATTTACATGACTAATGCAAAGCCTTTCTTTATAACTGTGTGATGTTATCGGCTGCACAAGTTTTCTCGGTTTCAAAACTTATCGTTTATTTCCGAAAAAGCCATAATTACCTTGTTTGAATCGCGGACGAGTTACCGTTATTTTGGTCTTCACCAAGTCGGCGGTGGTCGCATTTACGTTAAGCATTGTAGATGTGAATGAATATAACTCGTACCCGGATGGTGTAGTGGTGAAGTGCGCTGCTCCCCGGTAAGGACAACAGCGCGTGTTCGTTCTCCACTGCATACACCTGTGGTCCGGAGTTTTGCAGATATCTCAGCACTTCATACGAGTTATATTTCACAACATACCCTGCCATTAAGAAGAAAAAGGCAGTAAATAAAAGAGTTAAGATTGAATGAATATATATCTGGCCCATAAAATGACTTGTTGTTGCCTACCGATGTAGAAAGTTATTGTTTTGATCTCCCGGATATGTTCTACCAATTTGCTGAACCG